GTATTGCGGGTGTCGCAAATGAAGTATGCGGGATCGCGGAGTGGGAAAAGCAAAGTGGACCCGCGGGCCGAACTTCCTGAGCAGGTCGGGTCCTCGTCCTAATAGTGGTTCGGCGCGACCGGACAAAACATAAGATTGAAATTTCAAAATGACTAATATTTTACGGAGTTATACGGACACAAATGGATATTCGTCAAATCTAAAAATTTTTTACAAAATTTACAAAGGTCTATGGCGTGAGGTAAAAATTACACGAAAATGCAGCAGTCGAAAGAGTGAACCTTTACCTTTAATTTCTTTTTTTATTAAACATTGTACGATTTTTTTTTCACCGAATTATTGAACGATGAAGCAAAAGTGATCACTTCTACTTTAACGTTCAATAACTCGGTGGAAAAGACCTCGTAGTCAGCGTATGTATTGGAGACCTCGGGGCGTTGGATCACTGACTCTATTGCTTATTTCAAATAATAATGGAGTCACCCGAGACTCAGACTCGATTCGTTTTATTTGAGGTGGGTAGCTTCTCTCAACTAACCCTGAGAATTGTAAAGCTCTCAGCAAGAAGACAGTAAAGATTAAAAAGCCGAGAGCCAAAAGACAAGATTAAAAAAGACGCTCAGGACCGCGGAACCGTGGTTTATATAGCGGTTTTTCCTAATTAGTGGGGTTCAAATTTAGGTGGTGGGATGACTTTCGGGATTTTGGATTGGTCGAGATTATGGGGAAGGAAAGAAGTCGATTGGTATCAACAACTGTCGTCTTTGTTTATGACTTTCCTAAATTTATTGGGAAATGCACGTGCACCGATTAAGACGAGGGTACGTGCACTGTCGGCACGCGCCCGTTAAGCACTTTTCCTGGACTTCGCATGTCACATTTATATTTTATGGTCGCGGACATCGTGAGAATCGTCCGCGACTTGCTTGTCAAAACAAAAAGAAATGTTTAAGCGCCAGTACTGACATTAATTCCCGTTTTTAATAGCGCTGTCCAAGGGAAGTGTCATCGGCGGTGCATTAGCTCCCTGCGTTCACCGATTCTAATTTTATTTTTGTTTGGCAGACACTAGAGTCATTTGTTTTAAACTTTTCTCATGGAAAAGATTTTTATTACCTTTCTTAGAAGTCCTAGGAGTTTGATAACCCCTAGGTCTCCGTGAGAAAGAGAAAAGTGGCAGCGTGAGTCCACTGGACGTAACAACTGAAATGACGAAGAATAAAAAAATATTAAACAATCATTTTTTGTCAATTAAGAGAACAATATTTTCATTAAATTCTATTGTAGATGTAATATACTTCAAACTTCATACAGGTATGCAATATAAAAATCTGATCATATAAATATCTAAAAAATATAAACAAATTGAGGTTATGTAAAACTGTAATCGCCGTTACAATAAATGTTTAATTTTATGGTAGATATTACCGGGACATCAACACTGGAGCAATACAAATGGCTCGAATTAATAAATGGAATAGGCAAATGTAAAATCTGTAAAGAAGCTGTAGAAAAAAAATTATTTTCGAAATCAGATCTTGATGGACGTGCTAAATCTGCAATAAAGGCATATGTATTAATTGGATATAGTTGTTGGAAAAATTCCAATCGATTGAAGAACCACGAACGTTCTGAAATATACAGAAAAGCTTTTCATGCCTTACAGAATCTGAAGAAAAAAACAGTTGTAGAGCACTTATCTGACGCCAAAAAGAAGGAAATGGAAAATTCCAGATTAGCGTACACAAAAATTGTGGAAACTTTTATTGTGGGTACTTTTATTTGGACAATTCGGTTTATCGCTACGCGGTAATGACAGTGATGATGATTCATGTTTCAAGAAATTTTTGAAACTTCGAGCGAAGGATGTTCCTGAATTACATTGGTGGCTCGAAAAAACAGGATATAAATGGCTACATCACGACATTATAAATGAATTGCTGCAAATGTTATCTACTGATGTTTTAAACAGATTTTTATATGATATAAAAGCTGCTCGATATTTTTCTGTGATAATGGATGAAACAGCCGACATATCGAGGCAAGAACAAGTATCTATAAGTCTTAGAATAACAACTACTGATTTAGAAACCGAAGAAATTTTTATGGGATTTTATCACACACCAAACACAAAATCTGAGACATTATTTAACATTCTCAAAGACGTTTTTACAAGATTTCACTTACCTATAAGCAATTTGAGGGGACAGTGCTACGACGGAGCAGCTGCTATGAGTGGAAAATCATCGAGACTACAAACACGAGTTAAAAATGTTGCCCCTAAGGCGCTCTTTGTCCATTGTACGGCACACTCCTTAAACCTGGTGGTTCAAGATTCACTCAGAAATATATAGATTGTAAATTCATTATTGGAATTTCAAAGGACTTGATTACGTACATCCGGGATTCACCGAAAAGAGTCGAAGCATTCAAACAAATACAACAAGAACTTCAGTCGTCAGATGTTGAAAAAGAGAAAACATTACCTAGCCTTTCATCTTTCTACCCAACCAAGTATGAAAACATATGTATTGGTAATATGATAATCATTTTGTTATCCGTTCGATGAATATGGTGTATTTAATTTCTTAATACATCTTACATCTTTTCAGGTGGTGTATGCGAGTAAAATCACTGAAAACAATTTTTGCAAATTATGAAGCTATCGTGATGTTTTTGGATGAATGTAAAACTGAAAAGACATGTGACAGTGGCAAAGCAGAAGGGCTTTTAAAATTCTTGGAAGAGTTCGAGTTTTATTTTTTATTGGCATTATCGATTAAGATTCTTGAAAGAGTGGAAATTTTAAACTGCGAACTTCGAAAAAAAGATCTGAGCATCAACGAATCCCATGACATAGTAAAGATAATGAAGGATGGAATTAGTACAATGAGAGATTCTGGTTTTGACTCGCTATGGGAAGTTGCAGTCAAGAAAGCGAAAAAGTTAGATTTGAATGATCCGAAGCTACCACGTCATCGAAGAGCTCTCAAGAGGTTAAAGACAGCCAATGCACACGTGTTTAAGGATCCAGAATCTTATTACAAAAAAATATACCTGGAAACAGTCGACCAACTGCTGTTTTCATTAAACGAGAGATTTCAATCCGAAACGATGGATTTTTTAAACAACTGTGAAAATTTTATCATTGGGAATGTTGCCGACTTGGCAAGCATTGTCGAATTTTATGATGATGATTTGGACATCGATCGATTAGAACTTCATCGCGATATGTTTATCGACATGATAAAGGCCAAAGACTTGAAAGTTACTAATCTTAAAGATGCGGTAAATGTTCTTAAAAATGACATAGCTATGGTAGACTGTGTATCAGAATTAGTATCATTAGCGAAATTGGTATTAACGATACCTTCATCGACGTGTACAGCTGAAAGGTCGTTTTCGGCATTGCGTAGATTAAAAACTTACTTAAATTCCACGATGTTACAACAAAGAATGAATAGTATAGCTATATTACATGTACATAGGGAAATCGCGGAAAAAATCGATATCGATAAACTTTTAAACGATTTTATATCGAAAAATAAGAATCGTCGTTCTACTTTTTCAATGTTAAATGAATAAAACAAATAAATTATTTTTTGTATTTTAATATAAATGATATAATCTGCTCTATATTCTTAACTGAAAAAACCCTGCCCCCCCTCCCGCTCACGAGAAAGTCCACACCCTCAGCGAAGATAAGTCGCCGGCCATGATACTAGGTCTCCCACTTTAAAGACACGATCTCGTCTCTTTCGATTATAATAGGCCGCTTGCCTACGGTACTCTTCCTCTAAATTTTCGTTAACCCAGCTGTGTAACGACTGCATCGCCTCCATACGCGTCGACCACTCCCTCTTATCTCGCGACTTGATTTCGGTTGCTGAATCGCAACGTTGACGCAGAGTGTTAGTGGCCACTAGTTCGCGCCCAGTATTCAAAAATGCGGGAGAGGTACCAATGGACGAATGGTGAGCTGTGTTATAAGCGAATCGAAAGTCGTGCAGGTGTACGTCCGACTCGCGGTGGGATCCCAATCTTGATCCAAAAAGGAGATAATCATCGTTTTCAAAACTCGATTGACTCTCTCTACTGGGTTCGCCTGTGGATGATACGGTGGTACGGTGGTGTGGGTGATTCCGTTCTCCTCGGCAAACGTCCATAGTGTATTATTAATGAACTCGATGCCATTGTCTGTCAGGAGGAATCTCGGAGTACCCCACCGCGACAGAATTAGTTCGTTTAGGGAATCTCGAATATTCTTTCCGTTCGCGGTCCTTAAGGCACGGCATTCTACCCACTTCGTAAATAAATCTTGAACCACTAAGACGTACGCGAAACCTGCTTTGCTCCGCGGCAACGGTCCCATGATATCCGCGGCGATTGCGATCCACGGGGCCTCGACGACTCGGCGACCCATTAATCCCG